TTGCAAAAATGGGTCCATAAAAGTTATATATACCCAAAGGTACTACTTTCTAAAACATTATCCTTCTGATTTCATTAGCTCACTGGTTTCCAATAATAGAAAAAAATTTTAGAAAGAGTCTCTGAAATGATTAAGGATACAAACCTATGAAATGATGCTATAAATGATACAGCCATAATCAATTTCCAGAAAAGATACAAAATCCAACTTATGAAAATGGTTTTGGGCATAAAAGCAAGCTGATCAGTGCTCTACTAGAAATAAACAAATGCACTCCAACACACTAGACTAAAACATAGTGCTTCACTGGTGATATGGTGATGGGAAGCCCATGGGAAAAGGCAAAAAATGATAGAAAAATAAACTATTTAAAACACACACACACACACAAACACAGCACTAACCTCCGTGGCAAAGATTTTGAAGAGTATCCATGAGATGTACCATGTCACCAGGAGAAAGACACCACACAGCCAGACATGGTAAAGTAATGAAAGATTCAAGAGGCCACTCACAGTGTCAAGTGGCCTATGAAATTGCCTATGAAAACAGAAAATTATTATATATTCTATAAGGAAAAGAGCATCTAAGCATTAACAGAACTGGGGCACCAGAACTGGGAAACATAAAAATTCCTTTTCTAAATCACAGTGATAGACTCCTTACCTTTTGTACCAAACAAAACCCTCAGCCTAAAACGTCTTATGAGGTACGTAAGGGAGCCTCAAGGGAAGAATGGACCTAAACTGTCTCTCAATTTCTTATATTCCAAGCCCTCACTGTCATTTATTATGGAGGAAGAACCAAACCTATAAGCCAACCACAGAGGCCAAGTAAAATTTTATTTTTTTTATATATTTATATATTTGCTTTTTAGTTAAAAGCAACCATAATAGATACTTAAAAACCACTAAACATGACTAATATTTCTTCCAGGTTAGTATATTAGCACACAGACAGCTCACATAGTTAAAAGCAAATAGTACTACCTGAGAATAACAATTTTTTACTTCAAAATAAA